CCACTGGGGGAGGAGAAGGAGGGGGTGAGTAAGGACCACTGAAGGTAGAGGGGGGGAGTAAGGGCCACAGGTGGAGGAGAGAGATGGGGCGAGTAAGGACCACTGGGGGAGGAGAGGGATGGGGGTAGTAAGGACCACTGGGGGAGGAGAGGGATGGGGGTAGTAAGGACCACTAGGGGAGGAGGGGGGGAGTAAGGACCACTGGGGGAAGAATGGGGGGAGTAAGAACCACTGGGGGAGGAGAGGGGGAGTAAGAACCACTGGGGAAGGGGGGGTGAAGGAACACAGGGGGACGGGGGGTGGGGAGTAAGGACCACTGAGGGAGGAGGGGGGGTCCACTAAGGGGTTTGGGAGAGGGAGGACCACTAAGGGGGGAAAGGACTACTAAGGGGGGGTGAGGGGAAAGAGGATAATGACCACTGGGGGGGGGATTACCACTAAGGGGGTGGGGGGAGGAGGGGAATGTCTACTAAGGGGTTTGGGAGAGGGAGGGCCACTAAGGGGGAAGGGGGGAGTGAGAAGACCACCAAGGGGGGACTACAGGGGGCCAAGGGAGAGCACTAAGGGACAGAAGGGGAGAACACGGAGGGACAGGAGGGAAGGGGAAATCAATAATTGACAGGGGGGGAGAGCACTATGAAAAAAATAAAAAAATAAAGAGCAGCTCCCCTCTCAGTCTCTATCCTACCCCACAAACCCTCTCTTTTACACTACACACATACACAATGCATCCCCCCCACACACACACAGAAACATACAATGCATTCCTACTCAGACACACCCGAAACACACAATGCATCCCTTACGTTCACACAAACACTCATTCTCTTACACACAGAAACAAAATGCATCTCTTACACAATCAATGCACCCCTTACAGACACACACTGCATTCAATTAAATACACAGAAACACACCTTGCACCCCTTACACACACACACCCAGAAACATACAATGCATTCCTTACACGCAAACACACACTGCATCCCCTATAAACACACTACATCCCTTACAGAAATTGGTATCCCTATACACTACATTCTATAAGAACACACACACATTGCATCCTCTACAATAACACATAAAACATCCCCTACACACATACACTCCACTTCCTGTGAGAGAACTCATGGGTGGGCCAGGTAGCTGGATTTATGGGTGGGCATTGCAGGCATACTCACGGTCAAGCCCTGGGGGCCCAGACCTTGAGCTGTGTAAGGGGCCAGGGGCGTCTTTAACGCGGGGCAAACAGGGCAGCTGCCCCTGGCCTTGTCCCTGCTGGGGGGCCCGAGGTAACTGCCCTGTTTGCCCTCTGCCCGCAAACTATGGGGGCCCATTGGGTGGCCCATGCACTTAGAGCCACCCAGTGGGCCTGTGTCAGCAGGGGCCCGGTCGGGCGCTGTGGCGCTTTAACAGCGCGACCAGGCCCTTGCTTTTCGGCAGCACTGGGAGGAAGTGACAGCCGTGCGTCACTTCCTCCCACAGAAACAGGAGCCGCACGGGAGGAAGGAGGACCAGCTGTTCCGGAGGGGGCCAGGCCGGGAGAGCTTAACTCCCAGTCACCCCAGCCAGCCCACTGAACCCCAGGGAAGCCACCCTCCAGAAAAAGGTAAGAAACTGGAGGGTGGTTATCAAATTTTGCATGAGTGTGTCAGTATGTGTGTATGTCTGTTAGTGTGCCAGTATGTCTGTCAGTGTATCTGTATGTCTGTGTGTGTGAGAGTCTGTCAGTGTCTGTGTGTTTCAGTATGTCTGTATATGTGTGTATGTCTGTCAGTGTGTCAGTATGTCCGTGTGTGTGCATGTCTGTCAGTGTATGTGTGTATGTCTGTCAGTGTGTCAGTATGTCTGTGTGTGTGTGTGAGTCTGTCAATGTCTGTGTGGTTCAGTATGTATGTATGTGTGTATGTGTGTTTTAGTATGGCTGTCTGTGTGTGTCAAAATGTCTGTATGTGTGTTTGTCTGTCAGTGTCTGTGTGTATGTGTGTTTCAGTATGTCTGTCTGTCTGTGTGTATGTGTGCCAGTATGTCTGTCAGTGTGCCAGAAAATCTGTGTGTGTGTCTGTCAGTGTCTGTGTGGTTCAGTATGTATTTGTGTATGTGTGTTTCAGTATGGCTGTCTGTGTGTGTCAAAATGTCTGTACGTGTGTATGTCTGTCAGTGTCTGTGTGTATGTGTGTTTCAGTATGTCTGTCTGTGTGTATGTGTGCCAGAATGTCTGTATGTCTGTCAGTATGTCTGTGTGAGTCTGTCAGTTTCCATGTGGTTCTGTATGTCTGTGTTTGTCAATATGTCTGTCAATGTCTGTGTGTATGTGTGTTTCAGTATGTCCGTCTGTGTGTATATGTGGCAGTATGTCTGTCAGTGTATCTGTATGTCAGTGTCTGTGTGGTTCAGTATGTCTTTGTGTATGTGTGTTTCAGTATGACTGTCTGTGTCAGTAGGTCTGTCAGAATGTGTCTCTGTATCTGTATGTTTTCCGTTTGTGTGTGTATCTGTATGTGTCAGTGTTTGTATCTGTATATCTGCATGTGTTTTAGGTTGTGTATCTGTGTGTCTGGATGTGTGTCAGTGTGTGTGTGTATCTATATGTAGTCAATGGGTGTACCTTTGTATCTGCATGTATGTCAGTGTTTATATCTGTGTGTGTCAGTGTATCTATATGTAGTCTGTGTATCTGTATGTTCTTGTGTGTATCTACATGCGGTCAGTGTGTATCTGCATGTGTGTCAGGTAGTGTATTTGTGTGTATCTATATATAGTCAGGGGGCCCAAGTAAATGCTTGCCCAGGGTCCAATCAAAATTAAAGATGGCCCTGTAAGGGGCCCTAAAACATGGAGCTGCTTCCTGTTCGTTAATTGTTGTGAGCACTGTTAAAAACAGTCTCCTGAGAGCCTCTTCCATCATCAGCCTCTTGTCCTCATCTGGTGGTAAGTAGGCAATCCAATATATTATTAGTGGCACTAATCTCTAATTTACCTCACATTAAATGGATACTATAGTCACTAGAAGCACTACAGCTTAATGTAGTGGTTCTGGTGTCTATAGCCTGAGCCTGTAGGCTTTTTAATGTAAACACACTGTCTTTTCAGATAAAAGACACTTTGTGAAGACTGGCGTTGGCCCATATGGCAGAGCATATGGGCGGGGCATTGAGATGTCACATGGTGGGCAGGACATATGGGGGGGGCGGCAATTTTTTTTTTTTGTCTAGGGCGACAAAAATCCTTGCACCGGCCCTGGCTGTTTGTCAGCTTTAGTGGAGACTGGAAGTGGTGCCCAGCTGACCCCAGGTAAGTCAATAATTTTAAACAGTTTTACAACTTACAAAAAGAGGCGTCTGGGCTTTCATGGCACCATAACAACTACAACGAACTTCTTGCTTGTTCATTGAAGATGAGAATTCCCTGTATCTCTAGTATGTGGCAGTATGTGATTAAAGTTCAATTTACAGAGAAGGATACAATTATTTAAGGTAAATTACATTTGATTGAAAGTGAAACCAGTTGTTTTTTCATGCAGGCTGTGTCAATCAGAGCCAGGGGAAGTGTGACAAGGGCTGCATAAACAGAAACAAAGTGATTTAACTCCTAAATGGCAGAAAATTGAGCAGTAAAACTTGAGAAGCATGATCTGCACACACAAACTGCTTCTTTAAGCTAAAGTTGTTCAGGCGACTATAGTGTTCCTTTAACTGCTCACCATTCGCTTGTTAGTTTTTACATTTCTATAGGGATAAATT